GGGACAGATGGAGGATCAGTTTGCTTTTTTTCTTTCGACTCTGGTTCATTGACCTTAGTTTCCTTCTTTTTAGTACGACGTCTGGTCTTTTTTTTCTCAGCTTCCGTTTCATCATCCATATTAATATTGGTCACTCCGCTAGTCATTTCTTTTTCTRCTTCATCTTTTTCTTTTGTTTCTGTCCCATCATCTAAAAATTGCACATAGTAAAACGCAAGAAATTAAAAAATGTTTTTACACCTTTACCGTTTGTTTGAGTCTTCTTCTTCCTTCGCTTCCTCTTCTTCTTTGTGACCGCCGATCCATCTTCAACATCTTCTACTTGTTCTTCATCATCGAACACTTCTTCAGTATTCTTTAATACATTTGACTTACCAACTTCATCGAATACTGCWGCCATTTTGCTGGGAGTATTGAACTCAATAATCGACAACAGTTAATATTTACAGTAACAAAAATCTTAATTCGAATTTCGAACGWATCGGCTGGTAATAGCTATTTACTTAACGAGCACAAGACCGATCGGGATCGGAACGAATGATTTCAAATRCAGTACACAAGAATCAAAACATTTCGTATTTGATAAAACATTAGTTATTTTTTTAGGTTATTCTTATTTTACCGGTTATCAGTGTATTTAGTTCTACAAGGTTATCAATTTATCATCACGGACTGGTAACAGTGGAAACGAGCTTAGTGAGCAGAATATGTGGCGCCAGATATAATCACCGGTAGTGCTAAGATCATTCGGTAGGTATCTTGTGTGCGGAACTTTTTGGTGACTTGTCGAGTCCCGACCATAGAAAATAGATGGTCCCGACTCCCGATCCTCGCCGGGCGGCGTAATTTCTACACCTATAATTGCCTATAGTTGTGAACACAACTTTCCTGATTGGTTCAAAATATGCCGCTCAATTTTTGAAATATTTAAATACATTTTAATATTTAAAAATAAGGTATATACTATATATATAACCTATAGTTAAGGTTTATTATAAGCTTATGATWTACCTAAGCTAACTATGATAAAAATTATATATTTGTGTAATCCATTGTTAGAAAACGTTTGTATTTTACTCATAATATAAAAATTATGAATACAATTTATATTTTATATTGCAATAATATTGGAACCATTTTTATTGGTCCTTAATTTTAGGGCTATTTTTTGAAATTTTAAAACTCGTGGAATAAAATGTTGTAATCGTTATTAATTACGTATTAAGATTGAATATGTTGTATTATATTAATTAGTAGATTTTTGACATAGTTATAACCATTAAATAAATTAATATTTTAGACATTGAATTAAAATAACACTAAAACCAGGAACAGACTAATGACTATATTATGTACAGAGCGATTTAAAATGGATTAATCGTCTTTTATAGAATAATGACGAACCTAGGAAAAAAAACAACAAATATATTTTACTTTAAAATTACAAATATTAGCTTAAATATTGTATAGTGTGTGCCATAACTGTAAAAAAAAAAAAAAATTTGTAACGTTTTTTCCACTTAAATATTCTTTACATGTTTTTAATTTATTCTGTACCTATTTTTTATGCCATTAGTATTTTAAATGTGTCATGAAGAATGATATATTATGTGCCCGTGGGCTATTAATTATTATATTATATTATATACGGTAATCATAGACAACTATACGTCTATACACATCATACTTGTATGAAAATTAGTGGTGATGCGACATTGTTATATTTCTTCTGACAGAATTGAAATAACCACAATATTATTAATTTTAGAAAACTTAATCAATAAACATACCTAGTTAAGCCTATTTCTCAGTAATATATAATACTGCAGAATACATTGTTTATACAGGAGCACATAGCGAACAACTAGTGGTCTAAGATATTTAACAGTAAATTATTATTATACTGTAGGCTACCATTCACAAGGCTAGRGATTAATATAAGTATTTCGCTGGATTAATCCCCTCCTGATTGATTGATAGTACTGATGCAGTTTCTAAAATAAGAAGGCTGGCCAGAGTTTTAAAATTAGATGGTTAAAAAAGTTGTTGAATTTATATATTTTTACAATTTAATAAGTTATATTATTGATTAAATACCAGAAATAAAAGAAATACCAGTAATTATTAAGTGATCTTTTAAATTGAATTTAAAAAATCTCTTTCAAAAATATTGTATAACAAAATATATCTTATTGAGAAAAGTGATGTATATTATTACATTTTATTAGGATTATATTGATAAAGACAGTCTCCAATGATTTTTCTTTTTAATGGTTCTTCGTACTTTTCCATAAATGTTGAAAGCTGATTGTCATTTTCAATACATTTTGATAAGCTCTGGACACATGTATTAGGTAATTTTAAACCATAATAAATATAAACCTAAAAAAATATGGTATAACATTTTAAACATAGAAGTACAATATTAAATTATAAAGATGCAATTTTTATATGCATTGCAAAATTATTTTTTATCTAAAATAATGTAAAGGCATTTTTTTAGAAGTCTAATTATTAGTCAATATACCTTATACTTGCGTCCAAAATATTATTAAGAAAAAAAAATATATACCTTCTGTGAATTAGTTATAAACACAAAACTAGGCATAGATTTTGTATTTAATTTTACTGTATACATTCCACAACAAAACGCAGAAACTGATTCTTCAAACTTAAATATTGCATGTTGACTTTTCTGATC